GCGCTGCTTTTTAATTAGTTGTTCTATGTAAATATGCACTAGATGGACATCTTTGACCATTGCGTCTCGCTTCTCCATCAGCTGCGACTCTGCACATCGATACTATTATTATGTGCGTCTCGTGTTTATACGAGCAAAACATTCTGATTGGCTAGTAATGCTAGTTTGGTTGAGAGTGAAAGCTGTGCTCCTCTCAAAAGGGATATCATGTCCATGTCCATCATGAGACCATGTCTATAGAAATAACCGTGACTTTAGATTCGCTCGGTTTACCTCGATCTCTCTCCTCAGCTGCGTCTGCGTTTGCCGTTCGTTCTCCAGACGAGCTTTTCTCTCCATCACAGTCTGTCTGGCTGCAAGAATGTTCTCCTTGAGAAGCTGGAGTTCCTTCTGTAAGGATCAGAACACACACATGAGGCGTCTCATAGAGTCAGAGGTGACGAGTCTGTCGGCGGTGAGAGAGAGACCTGCGTCTGACGGACTGGTTTCTGGAGGTCGGTCTGGAGCTCCTCCAGAGCGAGTCTGAGTCCAGACGCCTCCTGCTGCTTGTGCTGGAGCTCCTGATGGAGGTGCGCTCGGCTCTCCTGCAGACACACGGCTGTCCTGTAGTCACTCACGCGGCTGCGGTGCGAGCTGAACTCCGTCTGCTGGGAGCGGCGGCGCTCCTGCTGCTCCTCCGTCCAGCTCCGGAGCTCCAGGTTCTCCAGCAGGAGGCTGTGGATCTGTGCGTCCAGACGGAGGATGCTGCGCTGGAGCTGCTCTGTATCGCAGAGCAGAGCAGAGAGCATCTTCTCCTGCAGCTTCACTTGAGAACCAGCAGACTCACAGCTCTGCTCCAGCTGCAGAAGAGACGCCTGCGGGCACACAAACACCTCAGCATCCACTCCTAAAATCACTTTAAACATCTAACTTATGACAGAAAAGTCAAAATTATGACATACTATGTGATGATTATGGCATAAAAAGTCATAACTATGAGTTAAAAGTCAAAATTATGACATACTATTAGAGGTGTGCGATATTGACAAAATTATATCTCGATATTTTCTGGGATTTTATCGATAACGATAATTAGACGATATTTTGCTGAGTGTGTTATTGTGCTGATGATATCTTAAGGACTGCCGAAGACAGCTGACTCATAATGTTTTTAATATTCTTCATATTCTGTGTGCTGGTCAGTTCATACTGATAGAAATTAATCTTTTCCAATAAGTTTAAACTGATTTTTACATTTTATGGGCATTTTTTTCTAAAAGTGTCCATTATCTTTTGAGTCAAATTCTTTCATTTAATCAGTGAATTAAAATAATAAGACATCTGGGCTGTTACCGAGCAAATTAAATCAACACAGAAGCTGCATCTGAAGTGGCACTTAGATGTATTTACACACATGTATTTTGTTTAATGCAAGACATGAATGCATTTAACCTGCAATTACAAATGCATAAATAATGTTTTGATATATTAAACATAAAACGTTGAATACTGATATGTGAAATGATTTAAAACATGAAAAAAAAGCCGAAATGTGAAATTAAAACTACCCGCAGGTGGCAGCAAATCACTCTTAATTAGTGAGTCTTTGCGATTTAACCGAATAATTTAAACGGTTGATTCATTCAAGAACGAAACACCGTCATGTTGCTCAGAGACACAAAACAGCGCTGTGGCTGTATTCGGGATGATTTTTGTTGG